TATGTATGTATGTATGTATGTATATATGTATGTATGTATGTATATATGTATGTATATATGTATGTATGTATATATATATATGTATGTATATATGTATGTGTATGTGTATATATATGTATATATGTATGTGTGTGTGTGTGTGTGTGTGTGTGTATATATATTAATTACAGCAGTGAGCTTGAACTCTGGGTCAAAGATCCAAGTTGCAGTTATTTATATTTCCTATCACCTTAAGTCTTCACTCAAAGACAAGTACCTTTGACAGTGTATATACAGATGTATTATGCATAAGAGACAAATATTGTTCGTTTAATATGTTGGCATTATTACATTTGGCCCAATGCTTATATATATGTGTAAAAACAAAATGTACGAGCTGTGAAAACTCATTCTGATAGAATGAGACTGATACATTAAATATTCCTTTATTGGGTGAGAGAATCAGACCATGTCATAACTGCTTTAAGTCATACAGAATAGATATCAGAGCCTTAAACAGGCTGACTTCTGCTAAATGGGTCAAACTGGGCAGAAAGGAAATAAGAAACAACTCACAAAGATGTAAACTTCACACTGAGCGATAGCCTGAAAGAATACAACACATGAAACACAGAGAAGACAGTGACTTAAACTAGAGGCCAGAACAACAAATAACGTCAAGAAAACAAAACGAAGAATAATCAATAATCAGGAAATAGAACGTAAACACAAAACGCTGGGTAACACCCAGGACCATGACAATTTATGTATTGATACTGCTGTAATTTTTCACTGTTTCACTTTAGAAACATAAATCTTTGCATCTTCTATGATGTTTATATGTTGGTTACTGAATTTCTGGAATAAAATATGAACTGAGGCATATTTTTAAAAGGGTTATATGCTAAAAAAAAAAAAAAAAAAAAAATTAGGTGAGGATCTACTTTTCTGTGGTCCAGTCTCAGTAACTTTGACACAGTAATATCTGCTGCAATATTTACACCTCTGATGAATTTTCAATCAATTTTATCAAAGTGTTGATACCAAGATTGTATACACAGAGTTTGTAATTACAGAGAAATACTCAGTTAATTGTGGGCATTTCATTTTCGAGCAGGAAACTCAAAAAACCCTTTGGGGTCCATCAGGGTTTTAATGTTTCAAATAAGAAGCGGTGTTGTGGTATTTTGTGGTATTTTTAAAATTCCGTTTTTCAATTCCCGCGCTGCCTTCACTGACAATCGTAATTAGCACTTATCAACATATAAATACTTATTTTTGTATAGCCGTAACTGAATTTTCAGGGTAAAATTTTATCAAAATGTTTTTGATACCAAGCCTAATCGTTCTCGTTGATGCCGAAATCGATTAGATGACTAAATCTACACGAATTCAGCTTTAAACAATAGTAAAAATATTGAAATAGAATATGAAATACTGAGCAGCTTCCCCGCGTGAAAATGATTTCTTTGTAGCCCATATCCTTCTACCTTCTTCTAAAGGACACAGTTAGTCTGCATTTTTCTGTGAAACTGTTACGAACGTTTGAATAATTGGATATAGAGGGACTAACTCTTTAAGGATTTAAAGAGCACGTAATCAGACTTCAACAGAACGTCATACTTTCGCTTCTCATTTTTCGCCACAACAGGTGACTCAGTAACATATAAAAGGTAGGTCAGCAGAACGAAAAGTGCCTTTCACCGCTGCTTTTCAAGTCTGAGGTTACTTCTACCTTCTACTGTGTTGAAGTGTACGGCGTCGTTAAGCGAATAGAAAATACGGAAATCTCTCTCATAGCCTCTCTTTATTATTAAGCAGCTTCAAGCAAACTGGACGCCATTTCGACTATAACCGAAAGTAAGGAGGTAAAAGCTTTATCTGGAAAATCTATTATTTACGTGATGAAGCTGGTAATAAAAAGCAGACAATTACCGTGTGAACATCAGTATGAACCTAACTGATCGGGTCTCGCTGTTGTTTTCCTGCGCTGTCGGACCAACTATATGGTGTTTACAGTGGTTATATAACACGTCATACAATTTAGTACTCTGAAGAAGTGAAACTAAAGCTAGGTTAGGCATCCGCTCCGAGGTGTGTGTGTGTGTTTGAGGAGGGTGGGGGGCAGGATCCTCCTGTAGATGATGGTAGTGGTGAAAATAAGATGGAGGCTTTGATGAAATTACTTGTGTGAGGTGGGTTTCACATATATATAAAAAAAAAAAATAGGAGCTGGTATATATGGTGCGTGGAGGGTAATTGGTTTGAAGGTGGGCAGAGAGACGATTGGACTACAGCAATGATGCCAGCATTGAGTTTTACAGTGTGGGAAAGTGGAAGTGATGTAATTAAGAATTCATTTCTGTATTCTAAAGCCTGGTAAGGTCACATTTTGGTCCAGGACACACACACGCACACTTCCTAAACACCTTCTAAGTATTCCCTTTGACTGATGATCAGTTCACTGAGTTTATTCATATTATTACTGAAGGCACATAGGCATAACAAAACAAATACAAGGCATACTAGAGTAAAAAAAAAAGAAAAAAAAGACAGTGCACAAATGTGTGATTATGTAATTGCACTTGTTTAAGTTTAAGTGTGTGATTTTAAGTGTGATTGTATGTGCTTTGTCATGCATTCACATGTGTTTATTGAACTTATAACGGCAAAAAAAAAAAGTATTCATTTGTCAGCTGGTACATGATGTGTAATCCAGCATCTCCTGCTAGAAGCTGGATTCTGCTGCGGGTTCTGCCGCATCTTGCTACTACCTCCAAGCTGGATTTAGGTTTTTAAGGAACTCCGGTATTGGGTTAAGTTAGACCCAATTTGTTAACATAGAGAGTAGTAACGGCTGCAAGGAACGTAGCCTACTTTCCCGTTTGGCGACAGCAGGCAATTGGGTACGTTCAGGGTGACTCTGTTAATTTGAGATTCGATGAAATCGCCATAAATAGGCATTCGTGTTTTTACACATTTGTTTGGGTTTACTGTGATAAAAGTGTTATTGTGAACATGTCACACGATGGTTAAGTTATTTAATTTCACTAGATATGTGTTATCTTTTATGTTTAAGAAAACGGTGATGTTGCTGATTGTAATTGCTTTTGTTTGGTTAGTTCTCACGATGAGGACGCTGAGTAATCTTGTCGCTGGACGTTGAATAAATCATCTGTAAACAAGAACTTGTCTGCGTGGTGGCTGACGGTAGCAACACCCATGAATCAGTCTGAGGAAAAAGATGAGGGACTGCTGCCCTCAAATGAGGAACATGGCAGCCAGGCAGAACGGTAAGAAAATCTCTTTCAACTCAAAATCCTCTGATTTAAAGTTTTATCAGGTTGGCATTTTAGGTTGGCATTGGGTATTTTTGTTCAGTCCCTTGTCCTACAAAAAGCATGTCCTTTAACTCTCAACTGGGCTCTTTTGGATATTTTAGAGGCCGAATATATCTAATATATGTACAATTTAGAATTTGATCATTCAGCAAACTATAGAAGGGCTATTTGTACTTAGAAATGTAGGAAAGAGTCAAAGCAAAATCTTTCAAGTGATACTTGTTACTATATTATATGAGATAAAGACAGTTCAAGAAAATATAGTTATGTCCATAAATATTTGGACAGAGATCACTTTTTTTGAAATTTTGGTTCTGTACATTACCACAATGTATTTTAAATAAAACAACTCAGATGCAGATACCAACTGGACTAAGATCAGGTGACTGACTTGGCCATTCAAGAACATTCGACTTCTTTGCTTTAAAAAAAACTCCTGGGTTTCTTTGGCTTCATGTTTGGGTTCATTGTCCATCTGTATTATGAAATGTTGCCTAATCAATTTGACTGCATTTAGCTGGATGTGAGCAGATAGTATGTCTCTGAACACCTCAGAATTCATTCAGCTGCTTCTCTCCTGTGTCACATCATCAATAAACACAAGTGTCCCAGTGCCATTGGCAGCAAT